CACCCTTCCCCCCCCCCCCCCCCAGCCACCGGGCCAAACACATTCCTTGGCGCTTGAATTACGCGGGGCAGGCTTTGCCCGAGCTTATTTACTAAGCCTCGTGTTGAGCCGTTGTTGCGCAAGGGCCTCTAGCAGCCTGGGCAGCGGTGGGATTGTTAATCGTGGGGACGCCAGGAAGGTGCATGCAAATGCTTTCGGCTTTTTTATGATTATTTTTTGGCCCTAGTTTTCGGGAAGATACGGACCTGAGTTCAGCACTTCAAAGTTTCAAGTGCAGCAAAATAAAAAAATAAAAATTGCCGCAAAAGTGGCCGAGGAGGGCCCTCTACTGGTGGAACTGAGAGATCCACCCTAGGGAGGAAAATGCAAAGTCGGCCTCCAGTTTGAAGTTACCTCTGATTTCCTGTTAGATGTCAAGATCAATCTGGAAAGAATGCTCAGACAAAATATCTAATCAAGGGAGTGTTTCTTCTACTGTTCCTGTCCCCATACTACTCTGCCTTACATTTTGAAAAGTGACTAGTGGACTCTTGTTTCCTCCCTCCTCCCCTACATACTTGTCACTGTCACAATAAAGGGTTCTGGCTAGGTGTGAGCAGTTCCTGAAAATTAGGCCCCTTACAGGATCATGTTCAGGCTAGGAATAGAAGTATGCCTAGCTTTTGATATTGTAGGTTGTAGTGGTTTTCTTGAATTATCTTTGTGAGTAACAACACGTGTATAATACATTGGAAATTTTTACAACTAGTTAACTTTTAGGCAGGTTAATTTTGCTATTTTATTCACATTGACATAACTTGTTATTTTCACTTTTGTTTTTACTCATGAATTTGGCACTCTAAAACTGAAACATCAAGTTTTTTGCATTGTGTACAAAAAAACTGCATTCTTAAGTAATTTGAAATAATTCTAAGTAACTTCAAACATAATCCACACTTTAGGAGAGTGATTTCTTACAGAGGAAAATTATCTGATTTCCAATATCTTGTGTAACTGATTTTAATATTAACATCTGTGAGAGAAAAACTAGAGATTGGATATGCTAGATTATTTTGTTTAAACCCTGGATGTGGGTTAAGTGGCATTCTCTATAATATATGCTCGTCTGCTATGTAAAGTTTTTTTTTTAATTAATCAAACAAATGAAGTGCTGATAGATCTGTCATCTCTTGGGAGACTATTCAATAGTGTAATAAACATATTTGTTAAGAAAAGTACATTTAAGTTTAATTTGCTGTTAATAGCATGTCTTTCATTTTAACTTGGTTTCATTTAATCACTTTATCTAGAAGGATGATTTTAAAAGTCCCAAGAGGTTGTAAGAGAAATGGGTATGTTTGACTACATTGTGAATGTTTGTTTTCCTCTTAATGACTCAAACACTGAGTTGAGTTTGATTGGGCTTCACCTGTTGTGTGTGGAGGCAGCAGAGGGATTGCTGATGAAACAGGAGACTTTATTTTTTGTGTTGCTTTATTTACCCTACATTTTTTATGATGCTTATAATTAGGATTAAGGCATGTGTATGGTGTGGAGGTGGGGACTGAGGAATCAATGGCTCCAAGCATTGTGATTACTAAAGACAGAGAGTGTGCATATATAGTAGTAGCTTGTTTAATACTTTAAGAGCAGATCTGCTGATCGTAAAAGCTGTGAACTACATATTCTGAGAGAAAATTCTGTAAATGCAGTAATGTACTGGTTATATTAAGAGCTGGAAGGACTTCAATTCTGTGATAAAGACAGAGGGCAGATGATAGCTGGTCATTATATAGGGTACGTCTACACTGCAGGGCAAAAGTCAAATTAAGCTATTCAACTTGAGCTACATCAATTGCGAAGCTTAAGTTTGAAATAGCTTAATCCGTCTTTTGGAACTGTCTACACAGCAAGAAGTTAAAGGAAGAACACTCATCTTTCGACTTCTCTTACTCCTTGTGAAATAAGGGTTACCATGAGTCGGAGTAACATGTCCTCCAGTTCACCATTATTTCAAAATAATGACTTGTAGTGTAGACACACTCTATGATGCAAAAGAGAAGAATGGTCAACTATGAGGTAAAATTAACCATGGAAATCTTATTTCTCCTAAAAATGAATATTTCAGAATAAATGACGTGAAGTGCAACAGACAGACTCCAAGAAGTACAGTCCTGTCCAGAGAGACATCCAGTCAGGAGTTGTGAAGAGCCAGTACTTTTAGTGCAAGGAACAAATAAAAGTAAGCTGAAGTTTACTTGGCCCTCTGGCTCAAATAATTAAGATAAACTAAAAAACAGGGATTCAAACAGTTCTTTTACTTAGAAATACTATTGATTAGATTAAACTTCCATTCAGGACTTCACAGACGATAACAGATTACACTACTGATAAAGAGTTTCACTTGAAAGTTTTGCCTTTGTATGGTCTCTCTAAACAAAATCAGAGATATCAGAGAGTTTTTTTTTTTTAGACTGGTAGCATAACTGTGTACTGAGTATTACTATGCTGCACTAAGTCAGAGATAGTTAAAAAGACATTTAAGAAAAGCTGCATTTTAGGCTACGTCTATACTGCACTTATCTTGCGCAACAGCCTATGCAAATGAAGCATGGATTAGCATATTGCCACACTTTATTTGCATAATTAATTAGCAGCCATTTTGTGCAAGAGCCATTCTTCCTAACATTAATTATGCAAATGAAGTGTGGCAATATGCTAATCCATGCTTCATTTCATAGGCTGTTGCGCAAGAGTGGTGCAGTGTAGACGTAGCCTTAGAAAATATCCATTGCCTAGTTTGATGCAGCAGCATTAGTGTTAGCCATGTTGTAAGCACACAAGAAGACATGGGGCACCTTTGCTGCTAGTATTGGTGCAGATGCACTGTTGCTGAAAAATGGGTGACACCTTTTCTAGTGTAGATGTAGCCATAGACTTTTTATATGGGGAAAGACTTTAAACTATCATACTGGGAGGCAGGTACAACCATATGTAAGTATCCTGAGAAAATCCAGCAAAAACACTACAACTAAAATAAGAAAATGGATATAGGCGATACATTAAGGAAGCTAGTCAGTTTTAAAAAAGAATTTAAAAAAAGAATAAAAGTTTAAAATTATCACCTGTACTTGACTCTCTGCCATTGTTGATGGTTTTACAATCACAATTTTTAATAGCTTATCTCCCAATGGCTACATTAAAGATGTAAACAGCTATAGGAGCCTGACTGATTGGCTATACAAAAAAGCGAAACTTGCTGTACACAAAGTGCTGTCAAATGCACAAAATAAACAAACTGTAAACACAGAAATATTTTTCTCTAGTATCTTTCCTTTAGTTATTTTTGGTCATGTTTGTGACAACAGTAGTTTAAAGAGAATTGGGACTGTGATTTTTTTTTTTCTAGTTCACAGCTCCCCTTTAAGTAGTGAGGGAAGAAAATTAAGAAAGAAAAATGTTACTGTGTGGTGGGAGGAAGAGAATGAAATATACCAACATCTTTCTACAGAAGACAATTAAATGGTCACTTAAAGGGATGGTGGGCCCAATTTAGTAATTTTACAGTGAGGAATGGGTAATTTTACTGCCTATTACTCTAAATCTTCAGGAGAACTGGGTTCTACTGCGTTTGTTGTCACTGGGAAGATAAGTTATTCAGATTTGTGACTAGAAAAAGAGGAGCTTGGGTTGCCTGAGGAGAGACTTCTTGCAGGTGGAAATGTCTAATTTTCCCTGAACTTGGCTTTGTGGGGCATGGTAGTACTGGTATATTTTAGAATACCTTTGATACTACTAGGTAGTATGTGTATGATTTTTATGTAGATGTTTGTGTATGATTTTCATCTTTTCATTTAATTTCTTCAGTGCGATTCTAATTACTTTTTTTATTGTCAGCAGTCCTTGACAATTTGAACATAGTTCAAGGACTGAGCTGCTGCCTCTTACATTCCACCATTGGTACCACAAGAGAATAGATATTCTTTCAGCTTTCATTGGCTGGGGGGTTATGGATGAACAAGCTGAGTGCCCTAATGCATTGTTTTGCCATCTGACTAACACGCTTTCACTCATTCAGCAAATAAATATGCACGTCTGTCTTTCTAATCTCCCTATGTAGTCCCATATACAAAAGCCATCCTAGTGATATCTGAATGTCTGAAAAGAATGATATGCAAGCAGGTCTGTTGACCCAGTAGTACTATCATTACTTTTGTGATCTGCTGTCTTCATTGTTGAGGATCTCTGTAATGAATTGGGCCTCTTCTCTTGCTAAAAGTTATACATACTAGGTCCCTGCAAATTCATAGATAACTCATTAGATGAGATTATAAAAATGTAGGTAGTTGTGAGGCAAATTTTTCAAGCATTGGTTTAAATAATGAATGCTTCTATTATTGTTGTGTTTTTTTTTGTTATATTCAGTACCTAAGCTTACAATTACTTTAAAAAAATACTTGTACATTTAACTGACATATCCCCTCCCATATCTTTGCTTGAAATCTTTAAGTAGAGAAGCTTGCAACAGATGAAACTATTTAATTTTTTAACTCTATTATTCTTTGTAAGTGTCTGTTTTGTGATGCATGCATTCCTTATTGATTTCAGTTGATAAAGATGAATGCTTCTCTAAAGAAGGTGTGCAGTCTTATTTCAGATACTTCTTTTAATAAAAATGTGTTAAATATATATAAACCAGAAAGTTCATATTAAAAATATTTAAGGTGTACTTAGTCTCTTCAAACCATTGCTGAAACATTAATCTTCAAAACACATCTGAAAATATTGTATTTTACAGATGAGAAAATTAAGAGAAGTGATTGTTTTCAAGCCACATGAGTCCTACTTTTAAGTCTATTCAAATCAAAGGAAAGGTTCCCTTGATTTCAGTAGACTTTGTATCAGGCTTTTAGAACTCAGATGTTGAAAGCTCTTAGGGTATGTCTAGACTACATGCCTCTGGCGACAGAGGCAGGTAGATTAGACTACCCGGCATAGGAAAATGAAGCGGCGATTTAAATAATCGCCGCTTCATTTAAATTTAAATGGCTGCCGCGCTGAGCCGATCAGCTGTTTGTCGGCTCAGCTTGTGTGGAGTACTTGACTGGCTATACCTGAGGTTCCGGCCCACATTACCTGTCCTGTCCATAACTCTATAAAACTCAGACCGCAAAGAAAGGAAAATGGCAACAACCCCTTTATTTTTCCCCACTGCCATTTGGGATGAGGCATACCTGGGAGGTCGACAAATGCCTTTGATGTCGACCGTGGAGCGTCCAGACTACCGCGCTGAGCCGACAAACAGCTGATCGGCTCAGCACAGCAGCCATTTAAATTTAAATGAAGCGGCGATTATTTAAATCGCCGCTTCATTTTCCTATGCCGGGTAGTCTAATCTACCTGCCTCTGTCGCCAGAGGCATGTAGTCTAGACATACCCCTAGTGAAATCCAGTAGTCACCAGCCAGTAGATCTTGGAGTTTCTGACAGGTGATCCTGACTGGTTTGGCCAGGAATCCATCAAGCTCTGGCACTTCAGTTGCCCCTTCACCCACTGTCACATGCTGCTCTTGCCATGTGCCTTGGAGCTGCCCCCCTGGGTGCCTCCTACTTTTGCCCATAGTGTGGGAGGAAGAAGAGGAGGGTGCTACTGTCAGGGCGTCCCTCCTCACCTCTTCTGTACCCTATCTCCACACAGAGAGAAGGAGATGGAGGGAGGTTGGCAATGCAAATGTGTCACCTACACAATGTGCGTGTCCCTGTCATGCAAACAAACACACTGTCCTTCACTCTCATCTCCCAACCCAACACACACGTGGGGGGTGGTTGTTGTTTCTGTTTCTGCTTGAAAAATGAGTTATGTTTGGTTTTTGACTGGTCTGGAGAATTTTCATTTCTCTCTTACGCATAATTTAATTCTTTGAGTAGTGAGTTCTAAAATGCCTAACCTGGCATGGCTGGAGTGATTATCCCTATGGTAAGTGCCACTCCTGGAAGTGGCTGGCATGTCCCTGCAGCCCTGGAGAGCGTCAGAACAGGAGGTCTCCATATGCTGTCTTTGCCTGCAGGTACCACCCTCAAGCTCCCAATAATCAATAACTGGGAACTGTGGCCAGCTGTAGGCTCAATGCCTGTAGATGAGGGGGCAGCACATGGTGCCATGGATCCATTACCATACATGCCAGCTGCTTTCAGGAGTGGTGCAGGGCAGGAGTAAGCCTGCCTTAACCCCACTGCTCCACCATCCGGAAGCTGTCTCAATTAAATGGTGCCCAGCCAGAGCCTGCTTCTTGAACCCTTGTCCCAGCCCTGAACCTCCTCCTGAACCCAACCTCCTGCCTCATACGCGAGTCCCCCTGCACCCAAACTCCTTCTCAGAGCTTGCACCCTGAAACTTCTCCTGGACCCCAAGTCTCTCCCCCCTCCTCCCCCGGCCTAACTCAAAGCCCCTCCCACACTCCAAATTCCTTGGCCCAAGAGCAGAGGCTGCATCCTTATCCCAGCCTGGAGAAAGTGAGTGGGGAAGGGCGAGGGAAGGGGGATGGAATGAGCAGGGTGAGGCCTTGGAGAAGGGGTGGAGCAGGGGCAGGGCCTCAAAGAAGGGATGGGAAGGAAGCGGGGCAAGAGTATTTGGGTTTGAGGTAGATCTTGCATTGCATTTAAATTGAAAAAGTGATCTTGTGGTTAAAAAGGTTAGAGACCACTTGTGTAATCTAACAATTAGTATATAGAACTGTCTCTTGCTGTTAAGGTTTGGCACAGTACTTAAGTTACTTAGCCACAATTTACCAATTTATATGACTATTTTCATAAAGCACCATATGAGGTATTATCAATTCAAAGATCCATCAGTCAAAGCTTTAATGGAAGGAGAAACAAGTAGTAAATAGGTATGCAGTAGTCTTCATTATTCTGTCACATGTAGATGCATGTGATTTTTTTTTATTCTTTCATTTAATTTCTTTACTGCTGTTCTGATTTCTTTTTCATTGGCCTGTTTCTTTCTCCTTACCACCTACAGTAGAGGAAGTCATTTTAGAGCTAGCAGTCTGAGATCTTTCATCATTTTTGCATTCAAGACCCCATAAAGTCAGGAAGCAGAGATTTTGTTGAAAATAGGTGCCTCTAGTAACTAAACTTACTTGTCAGCACGGTATAACAGTCCCATGACAGCATCATCCCTGAGGAGACAGGACAGTCCAGAAGTGTGGAAGAGAGTACCGGGGATTGAAAGTACAAATTGTGCCTGTAATGTTGGGTTAATTTAAAAAATGGGAAAAATACTCGAATGAGTTGTTTGCACATTGATCATTGGTTTTTTATTTTTTGTTCTATTTTTGCCAAACATTAGACTCTAGACAACTTTTTTATCACTGTTTGAGGCCATCAATAGAGGCTACAATCAAATTACAGTAAACTTCCGATAATCCGGCACCTTGAGGACCCAGGGGGTGCTGGATTATCAGATATGCTGGACTATCAGAAGGGGGGGCTATGAGGGGTCTGGAGCTGGGAGGGGATGCCCCCCCAAACCCCTCATAGCCCCCCCCTTACGATAGTCAGGCTCTGCCCCAGGAGTCCCTGATTCAGCCGCTGCTGGTCAGTTTCAGCAGCGGCTGACTTGGGGACCCCTGGGGCAGAGCAGCTGGAGTGCTGCTGGGTTGGTCCCGCAGCGCCGAGGGGCGGCGCTACGGGACCAACCCGGCAGCACTCCAGCTGCTCTGCCCCAGGGGTCCCCAAGTCAGCCGCTGCTGAAACTGACCAACAGCGGCTGAATCAGGGACTCCTGGGGCAGAGCCTGACTATCGTAAGGGGGGGGCTATGAGGGGTCTGGAGCTGGGAGGGGATGCCCCCCCAAACCCCTCATAGCCCCCCCCTTACGATAGTCAGGCTCTGCCCCAGGAGTCCCTGATTCAGCCGCTGCTGGTCAGTTTCAGCAGCGGCTGACTTGGGGACCCCTGGGGCAGAGCAGCTGGAGTGCTGCTGGGTTGGTCCCGCAGCGCCGAGGGGCGGCGCTACGGGACCAACCCGGCAGCACTCCAGCTGCTCTGCCCCAGGGGTCCCCAAGTCAGCCGCTGCTGAAACTGACCAACAGCGGCTGAATCAGGGACTCCTGGGGCAGAGCCTGACTATCGTAAGGGGGGGGCTATGAGGGGTCTGGAGCTGGGAGGGGATGCCCCCCCAAACCCCTCATAGCCCCCCCCTTACGATAGTCAGGCTCTGCCCCAGGAGTCCCTGATTCAGCCGCTGCTGGTCAGTTTCAGCATCAGCTGAATGGGGGAAGCCTGTCAGGCTGCCCCAACACTGCCGGGTTCCTGATGGTGTTGGACCATGAGGAGTCCCGGAGCATTGGATGCCGGACTAATGGAGTTTTACTGTAATGTGTATATGGGTTACTTGAAAAACACCATATATACTTTTATGGTCAATATTCACTTTTCTTTTATCTCTTAAAATATCTTGTGTAAAAAGATTAGATTGTAAGGATTATTGTTTCTTTCCAGATTAATCCTTTTCAACTGACAGTGTTACAGAGCATTCTCATTGCTGAGAGTAGCACCAGCAGAGACAGACAGCTGTTAACTTCTTTCTGCCCCTTAGTAAGAGGCAAGACCTCTGTTGACGTATTGGTCAATATGGGAGAAGCATGCCTCAGCAGCCTCAAGCCATTAGAACGCTTATACTATACAAATAAATGTACAGATTGGATTACTGCAGTGTGCTTTAGATGGAGGTATTTTAAGATTACTTGGAAACTTCAGCTAATATGAACGCAGCTGCCCATGTGCTTAGCCAAGCTACTCAGAACTTGCAATCTTAAAACTGCATTGGCTTCCAGTTTGTTTCCAGATACACGCCCAGTTGTTAGCTCTTTATGGTTTGCATTATGTATTTCAGAGATAAAGAAAAAGAAAGTCTAGGTCCTAACATTGCATTTTAGATTAGCTGCAGCATGCCCAGATTTATTCATCTGCTAGTGGGAGAGGGGATTCTTGTTGGGTCTAAGATTTGGAATTCACTTCCTTCATTGGTCCGATGGAGTTCATGCCTGTTGACCTTGGGTGATATCTAAACATCTTCCCACTATAAATGTTAAAATATAGTTTTGGTTATTTTTTGTAGGTCTGGGATTTGTTTAGTTTACATTCAACTGGTGTAGATTATTTATACTTATTAAAAATATCAGTGCATGCATTTAGAACACAGTTTATAAACGTGTTTAACTATAGACAGAGGAAAAAAAACATCCAGTTAATCTTCCTGTCAATTCGAGATTGTTTCTCAAAGTATGTGTAAAGATTTGTCACAATACTCTTCAGACCTAGATGCATGCCACTCATGTCTCCGAACCCCAGCTGTTTCATGCATAATAAGGATGGTTCCTCACTCATGTCCTATGTTATTACTCATGCTGAGTAGTACCTTTTTAGTGGGACTATTAATTTAAATGAGGTATTACTCAGGGTGGGCAAAAATGTCGGAATCAGGCCCTGGGAGTAACGGTAGTTTGGAATAGGAAGCCTAATCCGAACTATCTAGTTCGTGCTGCGTGTAGCCGCGGGCGCAGATTCCGAACTAGCGGACATTTAAAAATGGCGACGCCCGGCAATATGCAAATGAAGCCCGGGAAATTCAAATCCCGGGCTTCATTTGCAACTCCGGTTGCCTACATTAACCACCCTAGTTCGAACTAGGGTGGTAGTGTAGACATACCCTAAGTGACTTTGAGAGCAGTGTTTATGTAAACAGCATATTTTAAGAAAATATTGGTGAATATTTGTGTAAAATTGATTTTAAACTTTTAAACAAGAACATTCCCACTAGAAACCTGATTCTAAGAGTAATGATCAGACACTTGCGAAGCAGAGACTATACTGCATGACTTACATGTTCATCTGAAACCAACCAATCAGCATATTGAATACTTTCAACAAACTGCTTGCAAACAATCTGCAAGATAATTTTTTGTCTAGGAAAGTATTTGGTAAATAAATATTAATAGCAACTAAAGTTGAAAACACTGTAAGCTGCTAATGGACAGTTTATGAACCAAAAGAGAAACTAAATTATTTGCTACAAATAATTCACTTTGTGTAGATTATAGAAGTCCCTTTTAAAAAAAAGAATTGTTCACTGTGATTTCACATTGAACAAACAGAAAATCAAGTGCAGATCCATAATTTGAAGATTCTTGGTTTACAAGAATATGAAGAAGGTGAAAAGTTAATAGTCTTTTCTGACAAATGGCTGCTAGAGATTTTGCAGTTCAACGCAACTGATGACCCTTCCTGCTTGTGAGGGGGATTGGATCACATCCAGGGAAAGTGACAAGTGCTGTATAACTATTATTGCTTGTGTAACTGATTTGAGAGAGACTCCTACAACAGCAAAGGGCATTGAAATCCATTATTTATAAGGGTAAACAAATCTTTTTTCCCTCTGGTTTTACTACCATGAAGCAAAAGGAGATCTAGTAAAACAACTCTCCAAGAGTGTATGTATAAATATATATTTTAAAAGATGTATATAATATTTTATGCAAACATTATGTTAGGGATGTGAATGTTAAACCAGTGGGGGATGAAGCAGCCTGTCAGCAGTGGGGGGAAGAGCTGCTCCAGCCAGGGTGGGAGTGTCCCTCTTCCCCCGCATGAACCGCCCTTTTATTGGTTAACCAGTAAAACAATACATTTAACCAGTTAACCAATTAAATGGGATTTTACATTCCTACATTATGTGCAGCTTCATGGCTTGGGCTAAAGAATATTCAGAGGATTTCTTTTATTCTATAACAGCCTGCAAACTATTGTATACTCTAAGAAGTAAGGTTTAATTTGGATTTGGATAAGAAATTCCCCCATACATATTACCAGCTATTAAGAAAAAGCTAGTTCTTTTAATCCATACTTAGCATACATGCTTACATTTGTTTCTTGCTGCCTCTGTATATAAAAATATACAATTTTCTCACATTAGCCTGTGTACAATTTGAATTTTTTGGATTCTTTCCTGTCCAGCCTCTCCCCATTAGAGGATGGTGGATGGACTACTAGTGTTGTTTTAAAAGGGTTCTAAAAGATTTGCACCTGACTTTTGTGGCATTAGCTCATATATTCAGCATTTTGATCAAGTAAGTTATGTGCATTCTGGATGTGAGTGGAAGGACAATTTGATATTCATTGTGTAAAGTGTGCTTGAAATGTCCGTGAATGAAACATCAGCTCAGAGTTAGGTTTTATCTGAAAATGTTTTTTCGCTTTTTTTTTTTCCAGTGCATGCATCATGAATGAATCAGCCTCAAGTGCAAGTGGCCAGGAGTTTGATGTATTTAGTGTCATGGACTGGAAGGATGGCATAGGCACTCTGCCAGGAAGTGATTTAAAGGTAAGTAAGATACGTATTTTTTAAAAACACTGTTATTAAAAACTGTAAATGCTTAGGAATGGGGGGAGTGTGTGTCACCCACTGGTAATTGGGTGTTGTACTCCTTTCTGTACCTGCTCCACAGAGAATATAGGTCTGTAAGAGCACGTCTACACTACGTGGAAGATTGATATTGCCGTGGCTGATCTTCCTGGGTTCGATTTAGCAGATCTAAATCAAACTCAGAGGGTGCCTCTGTCAGCACTGATACTCTTGCCCTTCAAAAGGAGCAAGGGAATATTTCTGTCGGCCTCCTGCTTTATGAATGACACTGAAATGTGATATAAGATATGTCGACTCCAGCTCTGCTATATAATTTACATAAGTTACTTCCACTATAGTGTAGACCAGGCCTTACTGCCCTCAGCTGAAGGCTGTTTTAAGATGAAGCTGTAGAAAAGCTTTAGCTTTGAAGATGTCTCGTTTAATTCCTGGTGTATGTTAAAATGGCAGCTGTCAGATAGCTATGCAAATACACAAGAGAAACAGGAGTCTAACTCTAGCTTAGAGCTCAAGTTCCCACAAGCCAGTAAATTGAAAAACTAAGGCTGAACATTTCATTTTTAAAATGATATTGTCACCCCTTTAAATCTTGTTTGCAATATTGTTGTATCTGTGTCGGTCCCAAGATGTTGATGAGGTAATGCTTTTTGTTGGACCAACAGACATAAAGAAGAGCTCTCAGTAGCCCAAAAGCTTCTCTTTCACCAACTGAAATTCTCATCCACCTTCTCTCTCTCTCTTCAAATTTAGTCAGTTTTAAAAATGAGTAAAAGATACTGTATGAGCCCTGTCTTTTTATGGCTTTACAGTTGCATTTTATTTTTTAAAATGTTTTCTCTAGTTCCTTGTTGTCTGAAAGATACACAGACATGTGGGTGGAATTCACCCCAGTAGAAGTATTAAATGAATACTTCTGATTGTTAGGACATTTTAGAAACCTGAATACTTCGATTTATCTCTTTCAAAATATAGATCAGGAATGTAATATTTAACATTTTAAAAATTTTGAAATGCTAAAGTTAAAAAAAATAGACTATACATTTTTAGCTGGTTGTTTGTTTTTTGTCCTTAGGCTTTCAAGCTTTCTTGCTGAAGGCCTTCAGCTGTTTAACAAAAGCTACGGCTATGATATTAGAGACCCTTCTTCATAAAATTGTTATTGCAAATAGAATTTGTATGTAATTCCACTCAACTAACATTAGTGGGTTTTTTTAGAGTTTATTTTTACAAGGTTTCAAATATTCATTTATAAATACTCTGGGTTAAACTACTCTGGGTTAAAGAACTGTATGTCCACTGGTGCCTTAAGATTTGTGTTACTGGAGTCAAGTGCCCTAGAAAGTGGGAGATGGGTTTCAGATTTAGGATAAATGTATTATGTAATTTTTTGACTACATTAGAAGCAAATAATATTGTGGAATGCTAATGGAATAGAATGGATAGAAAATATTGCAATGCCATTGTATAAATCCATGCTATACCGGTAGCTGGAGTACTGTGATTAGATCTAGTTACCTTATTTCAGACACGAGAGAGCAGAAATGAGGGTAGATTGCTTTAAATCACCATGAGTTAGATTACCAATCTTAATGATTTAAGTAAGCAAACAAAACTTTAAAGCATAGATTATAATTGTCTTGCAGTTGTACTTTTTAATTATTTTCCTAGAGAAAGGTTGATTTCACTGATTGGTAACTATTAAAGTATGTTGATTAGCAACTAAATATTGCCTTTACACAAAATTCCGTTCTGCTTTCTGCTCATCAGGAGGATGCACTACATCTATACGTGTTTTTATATATCTTCCCTTACATTTATTCAGCTTCTTAATTTTTTACATTTTTATGATGCTAGAAAATGGTAAATGATGCATTTCCTATTTCATACTTTTTTACTGAAATTAGTGCAAAACTCAACTTTTTATAATGATTAAATATGCTAGAAAACTTAAATATGCTAGATACCTAAGAAAAACATTTATTAAAATGTTATCAAAACATATTTTGAATTTAAACCTGATTTATTAAATAAAGAAGATATTTTCTGTAGTTAGTAAATTGAACTGGTTGTTTCTGATTATTATGTCCTTCAAGTTTTTAGAACTAGTAGAATTTAGTCTTAAATCTGGCTTTTGTTTATAGATTGAAAGAGGAGAATGAGCCTTCCTGTTTTTTTTAACTTCTAATTGGCTTATTAATGTTGACTGAATTAGTCTTTGAACTGTACTAGCTGAAATTAACTGAAATAAAGAAAATATTCTCTCTGCACTAGCAGAGAAGGGTGCTGCTGTCAAAAGCTGGTCTATAACTTCAACAAATTCAAGTTCCAAGTGCTTAGCCAGTGATTTCTCTGTGGTTTGACTTTCTTTATAACTTGGGCAACATAAGTAAAACACATACTTACTTTTTGTTTAATTTCAATTATTTAAATAATTTTAGGAAGTATAGGGCTTAACATACATTGTCAATTTCAAATTTAATTTTAAATAAGGTTATTTAATAGGTGAGTTGAATTTAAATTTAAAAATCAGTTTCAATAAAATTGTCTTTTTTTTTTTTTTTTTTTATCCACTATAGCGGAGACAGAGGTCATTCAAAGATGGGTAACAACATTATTAGATGCAAGGAAAAACTTCCATGTGAAGAGTGACTGAAAAGATTGGGTCTAGTATCTGAGGCCCCAAGTCAGGAAAGCACTTAAGTATATACTTATGTATATCCCTGTTCAAAAAAGCATGAACTTAAATTGAAGTATATGTTTAAGTCCCCTAAACTTCAGTTGTATTTAAGCATATGCTTATGTGCTTGGTGTTTAGGAATGCTTTCCTGAATCTGGGCTTTAGAGAAAAGACAAATATAAGAGGAAACAAGATAAACTTATACCTAAAGATATAGAGAAATCAGGTAGGCAAATGTATTAATCCAGGTTCATAATATGACAACAGAGGAATCTTAAATGAAAATGAGATGAAAGACAGCAAATAGATTTTCAGAGAACGCACAGTTAGTTTGGAAGAAGTCCTTGTCACATGATCTCATGGAGGCCAAGAGCTCAGAAGTCTGCACCACCATGTTGGATGTTTGTGGATTACAAGCACATACAGAGTTGTTGGGGGATAAGGATTTAAAAACAAGATTTGGAAGGAATATAAACATTAATGCTTCAGGTTATAAACCAGCCTCCAAGTAGCAGTGGTTAAAAGAAACTTGCCTGGTAAGTAGAATATTCCACAGTTGCTTGTTGCAGAGTCTTGTTCCTTAGTCTGAAGCCTGTTTTGCTGGACAGGTTACTACAGGGCCATTGGTTTTATCCACTGTTGCCATTCTTACTAGGGATGTGAATGGGTAACTGGTTAACCCGTTACCTGGTACCTGGGAGCTGCCCTGTCAGGACTTCGCACGGGGCTGGGAGCCAGCAGCCCTCTTTGCCCCCTGGACTGGAGCAGGGCCTTCCCCTCCCAAGGCAGGGGTTGCTCTGACCGGAATTGAGCAGTCTCTGCGTGTGGCTGGCGGGAGGGGAGAGGAGCACTCCAGCTCAGCCATGGTAAGCTGAAGGGGAGCTGCTCTAGCCCGACTGGCTGGGGGGACCCCCTGCCCGCACCCCCTTTAATCAGTTAACTGGTTAACCAATTAAACAGGATTTTACATGCCTACTTGGGGGGAGGAGGGAGAATAAGACCTGTTCATCTTCTGAAATACATCATTTTGTTGATCCTGTGTTGTGTATCTTGAGTGGTTCAATATCTGCATTATTTGAGTTTTAAGACTGAAAAGGAGAATTCTTTTTAAATTCAAACTAATTATTTTTGTGAAGTTCTAGGCTTGTGTCATACAAGATGTCAATCTGAATTCTCACAGTGACCTTGTAATCTATGAATATAATGAATAGATGGTACCTGTCCTAAAGAATTTACTATCTAACAATAAGATGAAAGACAACAGGCAAATATGGCAAATAGCACAAGGTAACAATAAGCCATTTAAGTTTGCTATACTAACCAGTGATGATAGCCTAGCAGATGCCTAACAGTTCTTATGTGTTTTAAAGGAATACAGCAAACATGGCTTTTAATAAAGATATTGTAAGGATTATGTGGGGGTTTTTTTAAGAGGGAGAGAGCCTAACTGGTTGCATGGGAGAAAGCATAAACGTCCATGTTGGAAAAGTTGACAGATGGACTGGCACTGTTGGCAGATCAAAGGGATAGCTCAACAGCTGACTAGAACTTAAGGGTTCATAGAGTGGAGATAGTCAGCGAACAACCTTAACAATGGAGGCAAGAAGCCTGGGCTTGATGCATTGGGAAGGGAGCCAGTGAAGAGTTTCTGAGAAGGGCATGAAGTGGTCAAAATGATAAGCCAGCACAGTGATTTTTTTCACAGTAGTGTTTTGAATGGACAGAAAGGAGAAGGTTATAGTTGTCCAGATGTGAGATAATGAAGGCCTGGATGAGAGTTTTAACTGTAGCAGTGGGGTGGCATAGAGATGCTATGGAGAAAACATTTGTTCATAAAATGGATACCAACATAATACTGCACTTTGACATTTTTCACTTTTAAATGTACATTACTTTTCCCCTTCATCTTAGGTCAGAAAAAAATCTGGCTCTCTAGGTAGCTTTTAAAAAATAAAATGGAATGGGGACAGGGGAGCAGAGGGATTAAAATTAGGTTTATGCTGAAAAGCAATTTACGGACTTCACAATTGAGCCATTATCGTACTGCTGACACACACTATAATAATTATTCAGTAAAATAATTTACCCATATATGTTCCATATCAGAAGAATACATTAGGAGCGAAATCTTTTCCTGCTAGTGGAAATACTTAGAAATTTTCAAATGGAGAAAATAGCTTGAGATTTTGCATTCTTGACATGCTTCATGTGACTGCTGATGAATGAAATGTGGAAATGGGGAATGGTAGAGAAGGTTATCTGGACACTTCTGCACAATCAG